ACAGTCCTATTTATACAAATTGTCCTAGTTAATCCAGTAAATACTAGTTCACATGAGTTTGCATCTAAATATTGAAACTAATCATGGCTGTAGGAACAATCAGATGAAACACCAAATTCTTTTGATTTCACAAGTAGGCTTATACACATTGCCCTAAATTTCCAGCTCAAAGTTACACTGATGCGAGTTCAAAGCTGTGTACCTGAAGTGTGAATCAAGTAAAAGGAGGAGAAGTTAGCTACAGCAAAGCAATCAGCAGCAATTGAAACTCAAGCAGCAACCACTCAGACAGTTTCAACCCAGAAATGAGTGCAGAAATGTTTCAATTCGAGTAGGATGGATAGACCACCCAGAACAGTGTCGAATTTACCCAACTAAACTCAAAAATGACCACAAAACTCCTTTTAAAACTCTTAGCAAACAAAGGACTCAAAAGACTGCTCACTCGAGCTTAAAATTCACTCAGAATCAAGACCATTTGAACTCCTATTTTGTGTGCTTTCTGTTTTTGATTTCTGCTTGAATGAGATCTAAAAGAAATTTGGACTTCAGGATTCAGATTTTTTTTTTCTTTGAAATTTTCCGAGGTCCTCCCTAACTTGTTGAACAAGGCAGTGTATGTGCCTTTTTATAGGCAAAACCTAAGGTTAACTTCAGATTTTAGTTTTCTTTTTAGTCCCTTTCTTATTTAGCTTCTTAGTCCCTCATTTTTAAAACTTATTACCCAAGTAACAACACTTATTTTACCAAAACTACACTAAAGTCTTGTTCTAGAAGATCCTATACCTATTATAATCCCTACACTACCCTCCCCTTACCTTTACAATTACTATTCCTAATAAAACTACCCTTTTCCCTACCCAAACTACCCTTTAATTGTACCAGAATTACTGAACCATACCAACTAAAACTAAACCTCATAACTTAGTTATTACTGACTATGGTTAGCTTGACCTAAACCTGGCAGTGTTCACAATTTAACAGAACTAGCTTATTCTTTTAAAATCTATATTGTTTTCAATTAACGAACTATTTGGACATGTAACAATCAAGCAAGAATCATATCAGTATTCGAAAACAGGAGTCATATTTAATCAGAATCAATTCTAAGAGACTAAAGAAAACAATCAAAACTAAAGAGCAAACGGAAACTCAGATATAGTCAATTCTAATATAATTCCTAAACTAATACTGGAAGAGATCAATAATACCTAAATAAATAAATAAATAAAGCAAAAACAGTAAAAGAGAGGTATAAGAAGAAACTTACACGACCCTGCAACCGACCTCAATCGCCCTCGAATTTGATCCCCAAGTGATGTTATTTGCCTATTCTTTGTCAAAAATAGGCAAATATCATCACGCAAGGATCAATTTACCCAACGGAATTTCGAGACCCTCATCCGGAACCCTAGATCTAAGATTCGAGCAAATCCGGTTGGTTTTGAGAAAAATTAGTTCAAGATTCAGGGATAGGAAGGTAAGAGGAGCCCAGGGTGTAATTTGGGCAGAATTTTGGGCGACGCCGCCGTACGCGGCGGAGGCGGCGTCTAGGTTTTCTTTTATTCGAAGAGTTAGAGGAGGATTTGAGGAAAACTATGCTCGGATCCATAAAGGGGAGGTTAAGGGGAAGCCGGAGTGTATTTTTTGAGTGATTTGGGGCTTCGCCGCCGGCGGCGACGATTTTCGGCCGGCGGCGGACGGTGGCAAAGGGGTGGAGATACAGTGGGGTACGGTGGGGATATGGTGTGGCAATTTCCGGTGAGATATGAGGGTGGGGGTGCGGGAGAGATGAATGAGGGGGTAGGGGGGTGTGTTTCGGACATATATATATTAAGTAAAACCAGCTTCAGGACCGTTCGATCAAAGAACCTCGACGGTCCTGATTGAACGATTCCAAACGACGTCGTTTCACGTGGGCTGGGGAATTGGACCGGGTAGGGTTGGACGGGTCTGGGACGGATCAGGCCTATTTTGTTTGGGTTCAGCCATTTGGGCCCAATTTTTGGCAGCCCCTTTGTATTTCTTTTGTATTTCATTTTGTATTTTTGTATTTTGTATTTATTCATTTTTTCTTAATTTTATAAAAATGCTAAAACAAAACAAAGACTCAATTAAACTATTTAAACTTCCTAAAATTACTTAAAACTCTAACGCAACAAATAACAATTAAGAGTGCAACAAGACTTATTATTATATTTTTTCATTATTCTAAATCTAATTAATACCTAATTAATACTAACAATTGTGAAATTAAAATCCCTACATGTATGTGCATATTTTCTGTATTTTTTATGAAAAATGCAACCAATTAACACAAAAACTCAAACAAAAATTCACAAAAAATTGTAAAATAAAGAAATCAATTATTTGAAACTTTTGGAATTAATTTGCTTAGGGCAAAAATCACGTGCTCACACTGTTCACTATCACCAAGAAGACAAGCTTGAACAATTCCTAACTTATAGATATTAAGATTCTTGTGTTTAACTAATTAACTAATAAATTAAAATAGTAAATTAACAACTAACGATACTGAGGGTTAGAGAAAAGATTAAGGAGGTCTAGAGTTATAATTTCCCCTATTGTCGGAATCCTTCCCGCTATGTCTTCTATAATTTCGCCTAAGTATTCTCTATCGATCATGAGCACTCTTATTGCCGTAAATCTCTCCCGAGTAATTACGACAATTTACTAGACGCACTCTCCCGAGCTACGCTAGCTGGCTTTTAATACAGCTCACTTCAGATCGCACCCAAGGTTTCGTTATCCCTAATCCCACCTTTAAACCCTCGGTTATTGATCTCTCATATACTCTGGGAGTGGTGTTGTTCAACAATTACCTAAATATGCACTCTCTCCCGAGTTATGCATACTAAATAGGCACAGCTAATTGAGAGCTCTTCAATCAACTAGAATATAAACGTATTTGAACAAATAGAGAAAAGCTATGGCTCAATTATATTAAAACATAACAAGAATTTATCCTACAAAAGGTTCTATCAAAACTCTAGATAACAAATTAGCTATTCATAATAGTATGTAAAACTACAATACTAAAAGTCATAACCAACAATGAAAAATAGGAAGAGGAAGGAAAAACTCGTAGAAGAATTCTCCGCCTTGCTCCCAATGTGTTCTTGCCTCCAAGGGTGTTGTCTAACCCTAAAGTAGTGTCTCTCCGCCTCCTTAGGTCTAATTTGTGTCCAAAATATGTCCTCCCCTTGTTCTTGGCCGGCCTCCTTTGTTTAATATAGGGTTTAGGACTTAAAATCCTATGTTTTGCACTTTAGTCCCTGAAATTTTCGCTTCCTGCCGCGGTTTTGCCGCGGTCGCGGTGGAACCGCGGCCAAACATGCCCTCTGATTCTTCAGTTGTCCGCGACCATCTTCTACCGCGGTTCTGCCGCGGTTCTGCCGCGGTCGCGGCAAAACAGCGGCTTTTCACCCTGTTCCGTTTGGAATTTGGAAAAACGTAAAACATGAAAGTTGTAGCCCTTTGAGTTAGCTTTCCAACCATATATTGTGGAGCCCAAATGGAGTTCTGAGCAAAAAGTTATGTCTATTTTACTAGACGGTGCGCAATATGCCTCCTCAAGTCTTCGTTCGTACTTAATTATCAAATTTGACCCCCGAACACGATCCCGGCTTAATTCCTTGAGCTTTTACTCAGACTTCAAAGCTTCAAATCACTTAAATTCATTCCATAACATCTATATAGCTCGGAATCACACCTACAAGGCATAAAACACACAATTAGTGCAAAACACTAGCGATTAAAGCGCAAACTCAATTAAAGTGCAGTAAATTCGAGTGTAATAAGCGACTAAAATATTCAATTATAGCCTATCATCATATAGCATTTGAAGTTCAAATTCTTAGTCAATTTCTTCAAAAGCCTAAAAGGTCTCACATGGACGTTGCATTGAGAATAGTAAGATATGTGAAAAATCAGCCAGGTCAAGGGATTTTATTATCAAGTTCTCAAAACAACACAATCACAGCTTATTGTGAGACTGGGAGGCGTGCCCTCTAACCAGAAAATCAGTTACAGGTTTTTTAATTAAAGTTGGTAACTCATTAGTCTCACGGAAATCCAAGAAACATACTAATGTGTCTAGAAGTTCTGCCTTACATGCCTAGCCAGTCGCGTGTCCAGTCGTCCCAACAAACTTTCCAGTACCAAAACCTTTTCCCTACTAGCTAGGACGGTAAAAACCTTCCCTACTAGCTAGGACTGGGTTACTCGTTCAAGTACCCGGTTCTTTCACATTCAACCCACATATAAGCCCTATTATAATTAAATATTAAATATAATTGAACTAAACAAATATACAATCACGCAAATTCAAAAGATCAAGTAGGAACAACTCACCGGAGGCTCGTTAACGAAATGTTTTCCATGAGCTCCTCAACGCCAACGGCCTCTTCTCTAAATAGTTTTTGTAGTGATGATGTTTTGGTTTGTAATGCACCCCATGGTAGGTGTGCATGTAGTAAACTCTAATAGGACTAGTTTAGTTACTTCGATACCTCTAGCGCATCCTGCTCCTGTACTGATGCTCACTCTTAATTTTTATTAATATAAGTACTTCCTTATGACAAAAAAAGAAAAGAAAAAAAGATTTGATTTGCTAATCATCAAAACGCTTCTAGAGTCCGCAGTAATATATCTCTAACGAATAGAAAAGAATCAGATAAATGCAAAGAGTTATACTATTTCCGCTCTGGCACAATATAAGTTCAAAATTTTATATTTTCCATTTGTAATGTTACAAAAATAAAAATAAAAATAAAAAGCTCTCTGCGCTTGTCCCTTGTACCCAATAAAAACCCCTCCCCCCATATTATAATAATTGCGCACAAACTCTAGTGGGAAAAGCTCAAGAGCATTTAATATTGTCCACCCCAAAATTGTTACAGACCTACCAAAATACGTCACCCCAAAAACACCAAAAGCACTCTCTTTAAATTCCAATAATCCCACCATTGGCCAAAGAAAGAAAAGTTTTGAAGCATTGTCCGCCATTGTACTTTGTTTAGAAAGAAATTAAGGCAAAGCATATAGAGAGAGAGCCATGTCTACAGAATGCACTCTTGAAAACTCCGATTTAGCCACAAATAACAACCACCCCTATTTCTGGTGGCCACAAGACAATAATATCCATCATCCAATATCTTCATGCAATACTACTAGAAGCTCCAACTATTTATGGCAACAACAACAACAAGAAGCAAACAATAATCAGCAGTCATCAGATTCTTCCTCTTGTGAGGAAGATGTTCAAAATAGTGCCACTAATAATCTTCAACAATATCAGTTTCTACTTGGTGTTGATGATAACAGCACTTCTTTTATTTCTGGTGAAACCGCTGCGTCGTCTGATCACAGTCACCTGATTTGGAGCCAACTTCTCCTGTGAGTTTGAATGTTTTTTTTGTTCCTAATCTAAACAGACGTATAGGGCTCAAGATGTTTGGATAATATTTTTTTTTATTTGACTACGTTTTTAAATTTTTGGCTACTAGACGAGTAGACATAACCCTAAAACTGAACGTAATTAAGGATATAAAGTTAACAACCAAAATGAAGAAAATCAAATACTACTCTATTTTAACTTGCATGCAAGCCTGCTAACCTCTTAGTCTTAGTTCAATTTTTTGCAAAGAAACTTTTTTTATTTTGTTATTATCTTGTCGGGGTAGGGGAAGAGTGTAGGATTCTCTTAATTAGTACTAGTACAAGAAGATTTTTATTCGATCACTTATCCAAAAACCTGATTTTCTGTATTAGATGTGTGATAATATATGGAAATTAACAACATGGTTGAACATGGAGCACTAATAATGTAAAAATACAGTAAATAGGAAGTTTTCACTAACTATACCTGAAACTAGCATAATTCTTAGTATACCAGTTATCTAGAAACCCAATTTAGCCCTTTTTATTAATATTATATATTTATATTGAAAACATAATTAGGTAAATAATACTATATTTACTCTAAATAGCTTAATGGTCACACACTTTAACATGATGTCAGAACAGGTAGATGTCCTGAGTTTGAACCTTGCCGCCAGCCAATGTAAAATAGAATTCTCGTGTGCTTGGCCTGTGAAAAAGCATAAAGCCCGCACATGAGGATGCACGTTGAAGAATAATCAATTTAGATAAAATTGTCACACATTTAAACAATTTCTATGAGAACTGAGACCACCTTTCATCCTTGAAGCACTAATAATGATTTTAGTGGCGCAAAAAAAAGGTCACACGAACTTTAGAAGAAGTTTGTTCTAATATTTTTTGTTTTATATTAATATCTCCTTACTTGAATTTATGAACCAAATATGCAGAAGCAGCTCTACTAGTGAAACGGCTGGGAATATTAATACTAAAAATCTGTTGGAGAATAACAACCAAGATGCAATTTCAGAGATGAGCTTATTAGATGGAGCATCAACCTTAATCTCCTCTAAATCTTGTTTTGACCATAATCAGCTGGCTAATGATGATGATGACTACTTTCATCCCTACAGTAATCTTCTTCTTGGGAGGCAAATCCATATTAATTATACAGATAAAATTAATGCTATGGAACCTAGTTCACACCAATACTGGAGACAAGGAGAAAATGGACATCAAGAAGTGAAATTGCCTAGACATCACTGTGGAATACTGCCACAAGTGGATAATTCATGTGCTGATGATATTAATTCAAGAAACTTTCCTGATTTTAATAGTATATCTTTTGGTAGCTATTTAAGCAAGCCATTGGTGGATACTTTCAACGACTTTAAACCAAGTCTGAAAACGTTGAATTTAGCACAACATAAAAAGCAAGGCCTCCAACCTTCTCTTGTAAGTTCTCTCTCTCTCTCTCTCCCAAATTACTTGAAAAATGGTAAGAAATACAGACAATTTAGATCAGAAGAATGTTACTACAAGTTTGTGGTGGAAACGACTTTGAAAGATCAAGGAAAATGTTTAGTTTGGAAATAAAAAAAAATATTAAGTTAAAATCAGAAGAGTATCGTACTTATTACTCCCTCCGTTCCAATGTTTGACTGGGCACAGAGTTTAAAAAAAAGACTTTAGGAATTTGTGGTTCTAAACAAGTCAAAAAGGGGTCCAGAGTATTTGTGTGGTTATAAAAGCTTCTCATTAAGGGTAGAATTGAAAGTTTAAGCTAAATTATTCCCAAATTTAGAAAGGGGTCATTGTTTTTTTAATAGACCAAAAAGGAAATAGGTTCGTATAAACTAGAACGGAGGGAGTACTAATTATTACAATAATTAAGGTTGCTAGCAGTGGCGGAGCCAGGATTTTCATTAAGGGGAGTCAAAATATAAAGAAACAAACTCACCAAGAAGTCAAAGGGTGTCATTATATAGTATATATACATATACTATCGAAAAAAACCGAGCTAAACAGTGTAATTTTTCGACGAAGGGGTATCAGTTGACACCCCTTGGGTGCATGTGGCTCCGCCACTGATTGCTAGTGGTTCGAGCCCCGAGAATAGAAAAAGTCTAGTGTGAATTGTTTTTCCTTTAATGGCCTTGATGAGGCAGCAATCGGTTCGATATTAGAGCCGGTATCGATCACCGGATGAAAAAAAATATTAAAAAAATAAATAAAGGTTGCTACTGCACGAGAAACACAGATGTAATATGATCTACTAAGAATTTTCAAGGTATAACAATCGATGTTGATCAATTGGACTCTCTAAAGCATATAAACCATTGTTTACAAGACAAAAGTAACAGAAAGACTTAAATTTCTACCCTTTAAAGTTAATCAAACTAATACTATTTGTTTGTGTTCTTTTTTTTTTTTAAGACCAAGTCTCGGGGTGCAAAATCAACATGCAGCACGTTGACAAGAAATGGAAGAGCACAAGAAATTCCAAGTGAAGTGAAAAAGAGGAGATCAGAAGATAATTCAGACATAAACTCAAAAAAGCAAAAGAATGAAACTTCGGCAGTTTCCTCTCCAAAGGTATTTTGTGTGAAATATAATAGGAATATTACATACTTTATGTGTCAGAAATTATTGTGTGTCGGACAATATTTACTTAGATTGCCTACTTTTTGCTTAAGCAATTTTTTTCAATATTTTATAGCAATAAAATAAACGCATTTGGATTTACAGTACATTCCCATTCGAAATTTATAGATATTATTTTGCAATAATGTATTTTTGGCGGAATGATATTCAAACTTTATGTGGATCAATTTATAGATACAAGCCCCGAAAGTGAAGCTTGCAGAAAAAATCACAGCTCTCCAACAAATTGTGTCACCATTTGGAAAGGTTAGTCTACACTGTCCTTCTAATTGATATTTACTCTTTAAAAATAAATACCAGTAGTTTTTTAAATAGGTTTATGAGTCGCTCTATATTTTGAATTTTTTTTAAAAATGCGATGTCAAAAAGCAGTATGATTAACGTATAGACTAATGCATGCTTGATATGTCATTAGTTGAATCCTAGTGGTAAATGTGATTGTACGTGGTGACCATTTCCTCATGATTTCATGTTCAGTAAATACTTCTATGACCTTATTTTCTTTTTAATTTATTCAACAAGAATAATTAATTCCTTTTTGAGTTTGAAAATAATTTACATTAAATTTTATATTTTACTCTTATGACAATCTTTTATAGTCATACAATATGCATGACATGTTTAAAAAAATATTTGTATGCCAGTCAAACACAGTTACATAAAATGAAACCGAGTAGTAGTTTTTTTCTCACACATAAATTCTTTTTCTAAAATAAAAGAGGATATTAATATTCTGCACGAGGAAAACACTGAGATCCAATCGTGCTAATGAATGCCCAAGTTGGATTAATCTCTATTATTATATGTATATTGGCAAGCAAGTCATCTTATTCCACCCCATTTTTAATTCTTTTTCACTTTTTCCTAGTGTGCTCGCTGTTATTTTTTATATTATAACCAACATTATTATTATTGTCATTATTTCAACTCGGTTATTATCTCTAATCGAACATTCTCTTGCTTGTCTAGACTGATACTGCTTCCGTTCTGTGGGAAACAATCAACTATGTTAGATTTTTACATGAGCAAATACAGGTATGATTTATGGAAGTGCTAGTAATTGAAATAAACTTTAGTTTTATCAAATAACCCCACAATAAGCCTACATACATCTTACACTTTTTATTTATAATAACTTTGGGCACAAGAGATACTCTTTCTTAACATGTTTAATGAATATCATAACTGTTTGAGCAAAAATTATTATGTTCGGCCGAATTCATATTTGGACTTCTACCTCCTCCCCTTCCATAAATAATATAACTTTCTCATTTTCTCCTGCAGATACTGAGCCATGCCTACATGAAGAGCAATACCTGCAAGGTGAGCTAATTCAGTACCCAACAACTTTTACGTCTAATTCTTAGGATAGTAAAAATCTTGTAAATTACTCTATTATTTTGGTTAATTTTACATTAGAAAATATTCTATTTAGCACATTTAAAAAAAAGAGAGAAACTGATCTCTGAAGATGTTATGTACTACGAATAAATATTGGCTTCATTTAAATATAACATTAAAATGCTAAAAATAATATCAATGTTAATAGAGAAGTTTGTTGATAATTCAGGAACGCTGGGGAGGATTTGACAGAAAAGACGTTGATCTGAGGAGTAGAGGTCTTTGTTTAGTCCCAATTTCATTTACCCCTCAAATTTATCGTGAGAGTAATGGATCTGACTATTTGATCCCATCATATAGAGGATGCTTGTATAGATAAATAATTTTTTCCTTTTTCCTATATACTAATAAATTGTATCAGCAAGTGTAATTGATACTCCTCTTCCAGCATGTATTTTAGTTTTGTCCAATATTTTGTTGGTGTATATATATATATATATATATATATATATATATATATATATATATATATATATATATATATATCTA